AGAGGATACCTTGCTAGCAGCTGCCGGCAGCTAGAGGAGCTGCGATGGGGAACGCTATTGACATCGAATAGTTTTTTTAATCGCTAGAACGAGCCTCTAGGGAGAACCAAAGTCCAAAAACGTCTGCACCCCGTCTGATCCCATTGATTGCGCCGACAAAAGTGTGTGGTGAGCAGCAATAGCACGGTGAAGACCCCATTGCAAGTCGAGAGATATCCGAGCCGAACACTCGCGATGAGAGTCGCCTTTCTTATGGGGAGGAAAATTCGTCAATTTGGGATAAAATACTCTCCAAAAGAGAACGACCACCTATTTCCATTCCTCCTAAACTCTCAAAAACCACCGACTCGTATCCTAAATTAACCGCTACACAACGCTCAACCAGACGGTTTTCGCTTCCTATCAGCATATTGATTAGCACTGAAGAGGGTTTCTTGTGCCGCAAGGGAGATATTAGTCATCTGGAAAAGTGAAGTCATCATGAGATCGACCACAATGCGTGAGAAGCGCCGCCAATTGTTCTGTCGCAAGCTGCGGGTGCGATTAACAAAGTGTCAACGGGTCGGGCCTAGGGGTCGTTGCTCAACAAGCCAACATCAGACGAAGCCCAACCATATTCGCGTAACGTCAAGTTTACTTGGAGGTTCATGGGTACTTGTAAGTAGGGCTGTAAGTAGGGTAACTATGGTTGCAACCTTACTTAGGTGCTTTTTAGGGTTCCCATGAATCATGAACCTTCAAGTAAACCCTAAACCCTAAACCCCAAACCCCAAACCCTAAACCCTAAACCCCAAACCCCAAACCCTAAACCCTAAACCCTATGACAGCAGAGGGCACGCCTCGACCCTTTTAGTGGCAGCTGGTGTCTTCGCGAGAGCTCTGGGAGTGAACACGGGCGCCCTCCTGTCCACCGCTTCTAATGTCTGCACCAGCAAAGCTACCGCCGAATCAAGTGCACCCTAAACCCTAAACCCTAACCCTAAACCCTAAACCCTAAACCCTAAACCCTAAACCCTGAACCCTAAACCCTAAACCCTCTTGACCCTAAACCCTAAGCCCTCACAGGACAGCAATCAAGGGGCAAATGCTCCCTGCACCCTCAGGTCTTAGTGCCCTCAAATTAAGGCTCCTAGGGGGCCCTCTCAGTCGTGTGCGTCCTGCCAGGTCGAAGGCGAGTCTGCTCAAAGCCACGATATGGCTATTTCCCAAAATAGGATTGAGGGTTTAGGGTTGAGGGTTTACGGTTTCTTTTTTCACCCAAATAGACGAGAGTCCCCTTGGGGTCTTCTGGGCTCTGGTTTAACAGGAACTTAAACTAGGCTGCTGCAGAATCGGGCTACCAGATAGGCTACTGAGACCCTATATGACCTGATGGACGCCTATTTGTGGTAACTTACTCTCAAGACACCCGGCACATCACGACTGCAAAGGCTGAGAGAGGAGAAAGCTCGGGTCCCGATCTCGATTCCGATGCCTCAGCAAGGGTGTCAACGGCAGGCAATGCATTGGCACATGGTGCTCGGAGGTTCACGGGTACTTCTAAGTAGGGCTCGAAGCAGGGGAACTGTGGTTATAAGTTACAACCATACGTAGGGGACTCAAACCCTAAACCCTAAACCCCCTACTTATACGTACCCATGAACCTGCAAGTGGGGGTTCTTCCGGCGGCTTTTCAGCCGACGACTTGCTCAGGACACGGCTTCCGCTTCTCGCGCGGCTCGCCATTTACGATCTCCTCGAACCACGGCACCTGCAACTCTGCGGCTCTCTAACCTCAACCCTAAACCCTAAACCCTAAACCCTACACCCTACACCCTAAAGCCTAAACCCTAAACCCTAAGCAGCGGAGCCTGGTAGCCATGATCCCGGTTCCGGTCGACAAGGCGACGAACCACCCAGCCCTCGTCCTTGAAGCAGTTCTGCACTCCAAAAAAGCCCCTTTGGTTTGCAATCTGGAGTTTTCGTTTAGGGTTTAGGGTTTAGGGTTTAGGGTTTAGGGTTTAGGGTTTAGGGTTTAGGGCTGACAGGATCCGAGGGGAGACTGAGCTCCCAGCCTGCTCGATTCGGATGGGCATCACCATGTATCCCCGGACTTTCTTGGAGTGGCCGACCTTCAAATGGAGGGTTTAGGGTTTAGGGTTTAGGGTTTAGGGTTTAGGGTTTAGGGTTTAGGGTTTAGGGTTTAGGGTTTAGGGTTTAGGGTTTAGGGTTTGTAGAAGTTGTATAGGGTTTGTGTGCGGAGTTTTGCCGGGTTTTCGTTATTTTAAACTTACCTCTTAAACTGTCAGGGCTGGGGCTGGGGCTGGGGACTCTGCAGCTCTGTGCTCTGGGGCTCTGGGGCTCTGGGGCTGGGGAGGATGAAGGATTATTGTACGAGCTGCTGTAATGAATCCCATGCAATGTCTATTTATCCTGGCCTTGAGGGTTTAGGGTTTAGGGTTTAGGGTTTAGGGTTTAGGGTTTAGGGTTTAGGGTTTAGGGTTTAGGGGACAGGAAATACAACGCGAAACCAACAATCTTGCCCCACCCCTCACACCCCTTCCCCCCTCCCCCCCCCCTCGGCCCCCTAAACCCTAAACCCTAAACTCTGAACCCTGAACCCTAAACCCTAAACCCTAAACCCTAAACCCCAAACCCCTTGGACCCCAAACCCCAAACCCCAATCCCATCCTACCCCCTCCAAAGCCAAGAAGCCCCTGAACCCCTTGACAGCTTGGAGCGCGCCCGTGCCTGATACACCACGTCCCCATTTCCCAGATGCCTGGGCTTCGGGGCTGAAGGGTTTAGGGTTTAGGGTTTGGGGTTTGGGGTTTGGGGTTTGGGGTCTGGGGTCTGGGGTCTGGGGTTTGCTTGGGGTGTCGGGGTCTCATCCTAACATGCACCGACATACCTTCACAACGGAGGAGAAGAACTCAAAAAAGCCACCATGACAAAGGCATGGCATGATTTACCCTAAACCCTAAAACCTAATCCCTAATCCCAAAACCCTAATCCCCAAACCCCAACCTTTTATGGCCAAGAACCCACAAGAGTGCGAAGCAAGAAGAGACCCTGAAGCCCCCTCCACGCTCAAAACTTCCCATGTGCATCCTAAACCCTCAACCCCAAACCCTAAACCCGAAACCCGAAACCCAATGAAAAGCCCTGAAACCCCAGGGCCTCAGGAGCATCTCGGGGGGAGGGGTCCTTCCAGATCCTGGTGCAAACCTGAGCCGGATCTGGCGTTTTAGGGTTGAGGGTTTTTAGGGTTTGTAGGGTTTGTAGGGTGTATAGGGCCTATACGGTGTACAGGGTTTGTTGGGCTTATGGGGTTTAGGGCTTTTTGGGGTTTTAGAGTTAAGGCTTAAGGGTTTAGGGCTTTTCAGGGGGTAGTCTTATAGGCTTTAGAAGGCTTCTAGGAATTAAAGGGGCCCTCTAAGAGAAGGGAACCCTTGAAGGAGAAGTTCGCACCCCGAGAGCCCTGAAACCCCCTAAACCCTAAACCCTAAACGCTAAACCCTCAAGCCTAAACCCTAAACCCTAAACCCTAAACCCCAAACCCCCCACACTCTGCGAAGACCGCTGGGAGCAAGGCGGCTCGGGCTTGTTGACGACCACGAGGTCCTTGGGATCCTGTGTCGAAGCAAACTTCGTAGCCCAGTGTCCATGTTATAAGGCAAGACTTTTTGCATCTTGTTTGGGGACTGATGTTGAGCTGACCTGTCTGACGGAGACACTTCGTGGATCGAATGATATATTCATTCGCCGACTGCGATCAATGGTGACAAGAAATTGGACATTCATAGTGTGATTTTGTGGTCATTGTCATGTCGATTATTGGTGATTGTTGGATCACCGGGACATGAGATTCACCACGCTCTGTATTCTAGGAGTTGATGGGAAGGAATGATGTGACCCACTTTGTCGTTTCCGTTTTTTCAAACTTCCTCTGCCTTGCTCATTCTCATGGACAACCTCCGTCTGCTCGATATTCTAACAGGAACCCTCGATTGTCTTTCCTCCAATCTAACATCCCCCCCCCCCCCTCCCCCCCCAAAAAAAAAACTAAACCCTAAACACCAAACCCTATACCCTAAACCCTAAACCTGAACCCTATAAACCCTAAACCCTGAACCCTGAACCCTAAACCCTAAGCCTTAAACCCTAAACCCTAGCCCTAAACCCTAAACCCCAAATCAGAGGACTAGCCAACTGTTGAACGGGCATTCAGGAGTGGGCCACACCTGGAGGTTGATCACGCGCCAAGTTCGGTTGGAATCCCAGGCGCCTCGGGTTTAGGTTTAGGGTTTAGGGTTTAGGGTTTAGGGTTTAGGGTTTAGGGTTTAGGGTTTAGGGTTTAGGGTTTAGGGTTTAGGGTTTAGGGTTTAGGGTTTAGGGTTTAGGGTTTAGGTCTAGAGGCTGTTGGGCGAATTCTAGCACCTAACTCTAGTACCCCCCCCTACTACAATCCCTGTTAAGGACTGTTAGTCTAAGGCTGAACATGCCCACTTCTAGGGCAGAAAAATTAGGTCCCACCGGATTAGGTTTAGGGTTGAGGGTTTAGGGTTTAGGGTTTAGGGTTTAGGGTTTCTAGGGCCATGCCAACCCGGTTCCGGGCGGCGCTCGCACTCTCCATCCAATTGTTGCTGCACGACTTTTACCATCCTCGCCCTTCAATCTGCAAAGTAGCCCTAAACCCTAAACCCTAAACCCTAAACCCAAAACCCTAAACCCTCCTAAATATGGCTTTCCCACAGCAGGGGAAAATACAAAACAAAATCTCCCAAACACCTTCTCAGTCTACTCCACCTGCCAGCTTTCTGATTCTGGTCCATCCTGACTAAGGGGCTTAGGGTTTAGGGTTTAGGGTTTAGTTTGGAGTCTGGGGTGTTTCCGCGCAGCCTCGGAACCTTTCCTCTGGCAGTTTCCAAAACAGGGGCACCCCCTGGAGACCTCAAATCTACCATCATCCCCCTTTTAGGATTTAGGGTTTAGGGTTTAGGGTTTAGGGACCCCAAATTCGGAAACCCTCAGGCCCTACTCTTGCCAACTACCCATCTTTGCATGGCAGTCTGAGTCTGCTGCCATCTTCAGCTCCACCCTGATCTGGATGGTCAGCCTGTGATCACCGTAAACCCTAAACCCTAAACCCTAAACCCTAAACCCTAAACCCTAAACCCTAAACCCTAAACCCTAAACCCTAAACCCTAAACCCACGACGCACAGCTCTCCAGTGCTTCGGGGGCACGGGCATTTCCCAAAAACAGGTCCCAGTAGGACAAAGCTCAACAGCCCTAAGCCCTACTAACCCCCTAAACCCAACGCCTAAACCCGACAAACCCTATGAACCCCACAAACCCCATGAACCCAACACACCCTATGAACCCTGTCGCACGAAATAGCTCTTGGGAAACTAACCCCAGTGATAAGTCTACTGATAACCTACTTTGAGGACTTCGGGGGGGCTTAAGAGTACAGCTATGATTGGGGTTTAGGGTTTAGGGTTTAGGGTTTAGGGTTTAGGGTTTAGGGTTTAGGGTCTAGGGTCTAGGGTCTAGGGTCCTCCAAGTGCCCACCTTCGCAGGCTTCTGGGAGGTGTCGTGCGGGTCGATGGGCTCAAAGAATCTGGGGCCACCCTGCGCACCAGGGCAGCAAGCCCGGCCGAGTTAGCTACATACACCCTAAACCCGAAACCCAAGCCCTAAACCCTAAACCCCAAACTCCAAACCCCAAACCCTAAACCCTAGCCCTAAACCCTAAACCCTAAGCCCTAAGCCCTAAACCGTAAACCCTCAAGCTGCAGCCCCGTGCCTGCGCAGTTGCATCACAGGTCACCCAACCTCAGAGAATCTCAGAGACATGTCGGCATCCTTTGAGTGCAGGGTTTAGGGTTTAGGGTTTAGGGTTTAGGGTTTAGGGTTTAGGGTTTAGGGTTTAGAGTTTAGGGTTTAGGGTTTAGGGTTTCGGGCCAAGTTTCGGGTTTCTTGGGCTTGGGGCTCAAGGCCTAGCGTTTAGCAGCATCCGAGTATCCCTTACTGGTTCTTTGTAAGACGCTTGGAGTTTAGGTGCCCAATTTCCGAAACCCTAAACCCCAAAATCTCTCGGCGCCAGGTAACTGGAGGCCAGAACAAGTCCACGTTTCCGAGTTTGAGTCCCGCTTTGGGCCGAGTACCCTACAAAAAACCTGACCTGCCCAACAGGGTTCATGTAAGGGCTTCGGGTTTGGGGTTTTGGCGTATCCTAAGCCCTGAACCCTAAGCCCTAACCCTACAAATCCTAAACCCTACAAACCCCAAACCCTAAAAACCCTTTAAACCCTAAACCCTATAAACTCCCTAAACCTAAACCCCAAACCCCGAAACCCTAAACCCTATAAACTCCCTACACCTAAACCCCAAACCCGAAACCCTAAACCCTAAACCCCAAACCCTAAACCCTAAACCCCAAACCCTAAACCCTAAACCCTAAACCCTTCTCAGGAGGCCGACCGCTGCGAGTTCGCGATGAGGAGGAGGGCTGCCAGGGCGCAGTTTGCACTCTCATCCCTCGATGCTACATCCAGAGCCCATAGGCCCTAAACTTAAGGGAACCCTAAACCCTAAACCCTAAACCCTAAACCCTAAAACCCTGAACCCTAAACCCTAGACCCTGAAACCCTTGCTAACCCCTGTAAAATGAAGCCCAGAGGCTCAGGGTGTACGGTTTAGGGTTTAGGGTTTAGGGTTTAGGGTTTAGGGTTTAGGGTTTCGGGTTTCAAGCCGAAGAAGCAGCTCCAGATCGTCGGGAAAGGTATCCTCAAAAAGCCTAGAACTTCTAGGAACTTCGACAAGCGTCGGGTCTTTGGCCCCAACAGCCCCAAAACCAAGAGTTTGGGGTTTAGGGTTTAGGGTTTAGGGTTTAGGGTTTTTAGCTAGCTAGCCCAAAAACTCTGTTGGGGGTTTTGCTGGGCCTCTCTGCCGGATGCGTTCTCTGGGAAGGAGACGTTCATCCGGACGATGCCATCCTGTCGCCAAGTCCCCTGGAGCCCGAATCCTAAGCCCTAAAGTTTTAAACCTCAAAAGGCTTAGGGTTTAGGGTTTAGGGTTTAGGGTTTAGGGTTTAGGGTTTAGGGTTAACCCTAAGAGCGCTAGACCCTAAAGCCCGAAACCCTAGAGCCCCAAACAACGCCGAACCCCTAAACCGCTTTTGATGTGACGAACCCAGCAAGCCCCATACTCCTTCATGCAGGACAAGACTTTAAACTATCTTGGGGTTCTTATCCTGATTTATAGCACAAACTTATTGCCCACTCAAACCTTAACTTCCTTAACAAAGGGGTATCTCCCAAGAAGCGGTGGCACGCAGAGATGTGGAGCTCCCCAAACCGTGGCCACATTGCGGGGGGTCAGGGCCTTTAATAACCCCCATAACCCAACCTACTAACCCTATAAGTCAACATGGCTCCCTCAACCTCAACCCTAAACCCTAAGCCCTAAACCCTGAACCCTAAACACCATAGTCCTTTGTAGGGTTAGCGCCTTCAGGGTTCAAGTTTTACCCAAAAGACCCCTCCCCCAACCGTACCCCTCATCCCTCACAGCCCCACAATAATCCTAACCCTAAACCCCTAAACCCTAAACCCTACACCCTACACCCTAAACCCTAAACCATAAACCCTAAACCCTAACCCCATAAATCGGGTCTAAGGCTTAAGGTCAAAGCACTCCACCCCAAATCCGCCGGGAACACTTAGCGAATCGGGCACGCAATTCACTGTCGGGCTTAGGGCTTAGGGCTTAGGGCGTAGGGTTTAGGGTTTAGTGACCTGTCTTGGGCACCTCCTTCAGTAGGCTCTTTGTCGCGGAGAGGGAATGCAGCATCATGAGCAACTTTGCTATCGCACCCTGGGCATTTGCCTCGCAGCCATATGCACCCTTATCTTCTGGTCTTATTACTGGGCGAGAACTAAATGAACAGGAATTCCTTGACAGCCCGGGCGGATTGGTGAACGAGTGAATGATTGTGCCCTTTGCCCCCGTAATTCTGTAGCTTCGTCTTTAGGAGCTCTTCTAATAGTACTTTCATGACAAGGTAATTCTATAATCTAAACCTTTAGAATGAATCCGGGGGCTAATTTTAAGTGAAGATATGAACGGCCCCCGGAACAACTATAATTAATGCGTTTACTAGTTCGTTCATATAATTATTAATGGGGTTCTCTTTACTTTTATTATTAAATTACTGACGCACTTTCTAGTAGATTAAATGGGTGATTGACAAACCCTAAACCCTACACCCTAAACCCTAAACCCCTGTTTTGGGTTGAGATCAGATCCCCCCACAGCCAGTCCCAGTGCCTCCGTCTCCTCCAGAGGGGCAGCCTGCAGCGGCAAATCGGGTTTAGGGTTTTAATTTTAAGACTTTAGGGTTTCGGGTTTAGGGTTCCCAGACCCCTGGAAGGATCTAAACACTAGATTTCAGTAGTAGTATGGCCCTTAGAACCCTCTGAAAAATATTCATGGATATGATCCTCTTAAGCCCAATAAGGGAAAGTATCCCAAGGGCGAACCTAGAGTAGCAGTATGGGCTGCTAGTTGGCGCCTTCTACTTTCTGGATCCTCCAAGCGGTCTGGCAAAGGAGCTTTTGGTGCATTCGGGCTTGCATATTCGATTTTGAGTTTAGGGATTTGGGGGTTAGGGGCTTTAGGGTCCTAGGGTTTAGGGTTTGGGGGATTTTGGGGTGCTTCTGCATCATGGGGCGACATCCTAAATCCTAACCCCATAAACCCTAAAGCCGTTCGAAGATCTAAACCCCAAATTGCAAAGCCCTTAACCCTGCACCCTAAACCCAAAATTACCAAACCCGAAACCCTAAAACCCTGAAACCCTGAAAACCCTAAAAACCCTTAAAACCCCAAAAAAAGCCTGAACAAACCTGAAAAAAGCCTAACAACCCTACAAACCCTGAAACACCCCAAAAACCCGAAAAACCCTCAAAACCCCAAACAACCCTAAACCCCGAACAGTCACTCCATGGCCTGGTCCACGACCGTCCCGCAAGTCAGAACCGCCACCTGCACGGGATGGTGCCACGCGGGGGGGAAAGCTGCCACATTGCGAACTGTAAACTTGGCAGTGGACCTGCACTAGGTGGATATATATATATATATACATATATATGTCTAGAATTATTCTTATGTTTATATGTATTATTTACATCTATATTTATATGTTTATATATATATATGTATATATATATATATATATTGCGTGCGCGCGTGAAACATTTTCTTAGACATTACATATTTTCTTACGTATATAGAAATATAAAGACAACATGTATATATATATATATACACTTCACTGTTCGCTGGCTACTTGCTATATCCTCTTTTTCATGCTGCCCCTGATTTCTGTCTTTGGGTCGTGGTGCTTGAATTCAACCCGAAACCCGAAGCCCCAAACCCCAAACCCCAAACCCGAAACCCTAAACCCTAAACCCTAAGCCCTGAAAGCTGCTCTTGTCCCTGATGGTGCGAAAGGTACCTGCCTCGTCGCTGTCCAGCGACACCTCAGATCTGTAAGGGATCATGGCTTGGCAGTAGTGAGGGTTTAGGGTTCAGGGTTCAGGGTTCAGGGTTGAGGGTACAGGGTTTAGGGTTTAGGCTTTAGGGTTGATAGGGTTTAGGGTTTAGGGTTCAGGGTACAGGGTTTATACGGTTTAGGGTTTAGGCTTTAGGGTTTATAGGGTTTAGGGTTTATAGGGTTGAGGGCTTAGGGTTTCGAAGGATTCATTGTGCTCTTGGGAGGCTGGTTCACAGGGTTTACAATCAGAGGGCTTCACGGGTGCCGAGTATAGGCCTGGGAGTAGGCTGATATAGGCCTACAGGGTCAGGGACGTGAATGCTCTTCGGCCCCTGCCCCTTTCCTGACGACAATGTCCCCCTTTGTGGAGCCGCTGGAAAAGACCACCTGGCAGCATTCTAAGAATGGGAGTTCGCATCTCAACAAGCTCCCAGACCCCTGGGAGGATCCAAAAAAATCGAACCCCCAAATCGTACCCTACACTACTGTTGGGTCATTCTTAGGAACCCCTAGACAGGGTAGGTGCCCTATATAATCCCTTAAAGGTTAGGTACCCTATATAACCTCCCAAAAAGGGGGATCTATTTTCTGGACCCTCCCAGGGGTCTGGGCTCATGCGCGATGCGACTCATGCTTCGGTACCTGCCATCGCGGCTGCTTGACCTCAGTATGGAGGGTTTAGGGTTTAGGGTTTAGGGTTTAGGGTTTAGGGTTTAGGGTTTAGGGTTTAGGGTTTAGGGTTTAGGGTTTAGGGGGCACTGCATCAGCTTCGCCTTGGCTATGAGTTGGGATGTTCCCCCTTATACGAGCAGTCCTTAATAGGGACTAGAATCGGGGTACTAGGGTCCCTATTGAGGACTGGTAGTACAAGGGTGAACATCCCAAGCTATGAGAACGAAAGCAGGCACCGAGAACGAAGCCTTTTCCAAGTAGAGAGGTCCGCCCACGGCCGTCGCATCCACGGTGACCCAACCCCGCGGCTGGCACAGGAGAGAGGTGAAGAGGTCTATTCCACTCGGGGGTTTCCGGACGACCCTCAACCCTAAACCCTAAACCCTAAACCCTAAACCCTAAACCCTAAACCCTAAACTCTTCGGTTTTTGGGTGGAGGCCTTAGGGGGGAAACTGTCCCCCACGAGTCCGAAAAACCCAGGCCCTGAAAGCACTACAGCCACCCAAATCCCCACAAAGCCACCCACAGAACTGCAACGACCCAGAGAAGCAAATCAACAAATAAACAAAAAAGTATCAATCAACATATTAGGCACACATGTAGTCTGCTTATATGTGACACAAAATAGACAGATCACTAAACGACAAAGATAAGCATACATATGTTTGTCTATCTGTATATATCTATATATATATATATCTATATCTATATCTATATCTATATCTATATCTATATCTATATATATATATACATGTATATTTGTATGCACATCGCATAACCCAAAAAGCACATAGTTGAGTCATACATGTACACATACATAGAAAATCATTGGGTTCTATGTACATAAGGGTGGCAAGACGATTTGCAGTAATCAGTCGGTGAACCTGACAGTCTACCCTCCTTCGACCCACCTTGAAACCAATGGTGTTTTAATGCGAAGAAACCAAAGGATCCTACAAACCATGGCTTTCCAGAATCCCCTTTATAGGGGCCCTGATACCCCAACAGTAGGATCCTTATGTTTATGTGGTCTTTGGGCCTGCAACAGATAGCATCAGCCCTCCTTCCCCCTCCCCCCAAACCCTAAACCCTAAACCCTGACCCCTTAAACCCTAAACCCTGAATTCCCCCCCCCGCCCCGCCCGACACAGGGCCTGCACGGGCATGCGCTGGAGGCCTTGTGCAGGGCCAGACACGAAGACCTGCACAAAAAAGTCTTCAGAAGCTGAGGGCTGGGGGTTTAGAGTTTAGGGTTTAGCGTTTTGGGCAAAACGGCTTGGAAAAGTTGGATTTTAGAGTTAGGGTGAAGGGGCCCGTCTGTGAACGTGAAAACCTATGATTGCCGCCAAGATCAAGGAACTGCCCCTGTAAACCCTACCAAGCCCTAAACCCCTCTTAACCCGAAACCCGACAGCAAGCGCCAGCGAGTAAAGCGTAGCGCCCGTTTGGATCCGGATCGCATTCGGGGGATTCGGGTCGCCTCCCCAACCAAAAGCCCAAAACCCAAACGACCACAAATTTCCCTGTTAAATTAAACCCCAAACCCTAAACCCTCAAGCCCCTGTAACTTGAACGTCCAAAAAACCGAAACTCCTCGAAACTTTCCTCGAAACTTTCCTGGAAACTTTCCCCGGACATGAACCCTTAACAATTTCAAGCCCTAAACCCTAAACCCTAAACCCTAAACCCTAAACCCTAAACCCTAAACCCCAGCAAGGCGGGAGCCCAAAAAAAACCTCGCCTCAAGGGGACCAGCCTGCAAGACCTGAGCCGAGGCTTCGCTTTGCACTGCTTCGGTCGACTTTTGTTTTGTGTTTTCAAGTGGGTGCTTCGGACTGCTTTAAAGGGGTGCATATGTGGGTTTAGGGTTTAGGGTTTAGGGTTTAGGGTTTAGGGTTTAGGGTTTAGGGTTTAGGGTTCAGGGTTTAGGGCTTCTGTAGGGTTTCTGGTGTTTCGGGATTGGGGTTTGGGGCCGTCCGGGTTTCATAGATGTTTGTAAAAGGTAGGCTTTGTCAAAACTACAAATGGAAGCCAAACCCCAAACCTCTATAAGCCCTAAACCCTTCATCAACAGGTAACACCGAGAGGGGATTGCAGATTGGGGATCCAGATTTCTGGGGCTTCCTGCCACCTGCCCGGAAACCCTTCACGCTACAACCCTATAACCCCAAACTCTGTAACCAATAACTCTAAACCCGAATACCTAAACCCTAAACGCCGTAAACCCTACAACCCTGGAACCCTATCACCCCTTTAACATGACCCTTTAATTCTTGAAACCTACCTAAAACCCTATAACCCTCTAACCCCCTAATATGACCCTTTAACCCTTTAAACCTGCGTAAACCCCTATAACCCTCTAACCTTCTAACCCTGTAACCCTGTAACCCTAAACCCTAAACCCTAAACCCTAAACCCTCTAGCCTTCTAACCCTTGGGTAGAGGGAACCCCAGAGTTCAAAGCCCCTGAGCTCCACACGTACTGACCATACGGGACCTTGCCAGGCAGACAAGGGTTTAGGGTTTAGGGTCTAGGGTGTAGGGTGTAGGGTTTAGGGTTTAGGGTCTAGGGTCTAGGGTCTAGGGTCTAGGGTCTAGGGTCTAGGGTGTAGGGTGTAGGGTGTAGGGTGTAGGGTTTAGGGTTTAGGGTTTAGGGTTTAGGGTTTAGGGTTTAGGGTTTAGGGTTTAGGGTTTAGGGTTTAGGGTTTAGGGTTTAGGGTTTAGGGTTTAGGGTTTAGGGTTTAGGGTTTAGGGTTTAGGGTTTAGGGTTTAGTGTTTAGGGTTTAGGGTTTTTAGGGTTAGGGTTTTTTTAGGGTTTAGGGTTTAGGTTTAGGGTTTAGGGTTTAGGGTTTCGGGTTTAGGGTTTAGGGTTTAGGGTTTAGGGTTTTGGTTAGGGTTTAGGGTTTAGGGTTTAGGTTTTAGGGTTTAGGGTTTAGGGTAGTTTAGGTTTAGGGTTTAGGGTTTAGGGTTTAGGGTTTAGGGTTTAGGGTTTAGGGTTTAGGGTTTAGGTTTAGGGTTTAGGGTTTAGGGTTTAGGGTTTAGGGTTTAGGGTTTAGGGTTTAGGGTTTAGGGTTTAGGGTTTAGGGTTTAGGGTTTAGGGTTTAGGGTTTAGGGTTTAGGGTTTAGGGACTGCAGAGGGTGGATGAGGGCGCCTCATCCAGTATGGTGCTGTTTCAAGGGTTAGGGCTTGCGGTTGCGAGGCCCTTCTGCAACGGTTTAGGGGGCCCTTTTGAGGGTTTTGGCTTATGGTTGAGGGCCTTTAGAGGGCTCACGGAAGTAGGGCAATTTCTAGGGCTCAGGGCTTAGGGGCCTCTTTAAGGGTGGAGCCCTTAAGGTTCCTAGACGGAAGACCTGTGTCGAATGGGCTACACTCGAAACCCTGCCCACACATTTCTGGAACTGAGTGCCATATATCCCCATATAGAACCCTGTCCCTTACGAAAACCCACGAAGGAAGCTTAGCCAAAAGAGGCCCTGAACCCACCCATTGAAACGCGGAGTTCTGAGGGCCGAAGCGCGTGTGATCTCCTCCGAGGTGAGGAGGAACTGCTCGCGGACGATCACCTCTCCCTTGTTTGGGCAGCAGTTCCTGCGCGCAGAAAGGCGGGGCTGTGGATGGAGGGCTTACTTTTCGAAGAGGGACACGTCTGAAGCTCCCATGAAAGCTAAAACCCTAAACTTTAAACCCTAAACCCTAAACCCTATACCCTAAACCCTAAACCCTAAACCCTATACCCTAAACCCTAAACCCTAAACCCTAAACCCTAAACCCTAAACCCTAAACCCTAAACCCTAAACCCTAAACCCTAAACCCAACTTGGCCCAAGCTCCGCTGTCCTCCACCAGGTGCCGCGCTGCGGTTTCGGGACGATCTCTGTCCGACCCATCTCGGGGAAACCTTCCAGGGTTAGGGTTTTAGGTTTAGGGTTTAGGGTTTAGGGGGTTTAGGGTTAAGGGTTAAGGGTTAAGGGTTAAGGGTTAAGGGTTAAGGGTTACGGGTAAGGGGGTTTAGGGTTTAAGGGTTTAAGGGGGTTTTAAGGGTTAAGGGTTTAAGGGTTAAGGGTTAAGGGTAAGGGTTAGGGTTTAGGGTTTAGGGTTTAGGGTTTAGGGTTTAGGGTTTAGGGTTTAGGGTTTAGGGTTTAGGGTTTAGGGCTTCCAAGCCAGGGGCCGGCTTGGAAAAACCGAGGAATATGGGCCTGGGGATTTCCGAAAACAGGGGTACCCATTATATACCCCAAAACACTACTATACTCCGCTTAGGAACCTCAAATAAACAAGTATGTCTGATATCCTCTTGGGTTTTATATCAACAAAATACAAAAATCACAGGGGGGGATAGAGACTATGTCATCCGTTTAAAAGAACCCCCTAAAAAGGGCAACACTTTGTTTCGGAAACCCCCGTCTAGGGGGTCGGAATCATCCCGGCTCTTTCTTGGTCTCTCATCATACGGCCCTAAACCCTGAACCCTACACACTAAACCCTAAACTTAAAAACCTGAAACCTTAAACCCAAAACCCTAAACCGTAAACCCTCAACCCTCAACCGCCCCCCCCCCCCCCCCCCCCCAAGGTGTCGAGCCTTCCGACGGGCGTGTCTCGGCCCTTGGCTTCCTTTCCCTTGCCTTTCCCCTTGTCACGGCCTGGAACAGATGCTCTGGGCTTAGGGTTTATGGGGTTTGGGGTTTAGGGTTTAGGGTATAGGGTTTAGGGTTTAGGGTTTAGGGTGTAGGGTTTAGGGCTTATAGATTTACAGAGTTTGGGGTTAAGGGTTCAGGGTTTAGGCCTGTAACAGATGCTCTGGGTTTCTGATGGTCTTATAGGGTTTACAAGGGGGTTTCGGTTAGGGTTTCCAGGTTTAGGGTTACAGGGTATAGGGTATAGGGTTTAGGGGTTTTGGGGGGTTAGGGGGTTAGGGGCTTAGGGGTCCAGGGGTTCAGAGGTTTAGGGGTTTAGTGGGTTAAGGGTTTAGGGGTTTAGGGGTTTAGGGGGTTAGGGGCTTAGGGGTTTAGGGGTTCAGGGGTTCAGGGGTTTAGGGTTTAAGGGTTTAGGGGTTTAGGGTTTCGGGCTGAGAAGCCTAAAACCCTAAACCGAAGAGCCGAAAAAAAACACGCATCCGTTTCCTCCACTTCCTCTGATTCGATCTCGGTCTGCCTCCTCTTCCTGCCTTGGTTTTGGCTAGCAGTGGCTTGGGGTTTAGGGTTTAGGGTTTAGGGTTTGGGGTTTAGGGTTTAGGGTTTAGGGTTTAGGGTTTAGGGTTTGGGGTGTAGGGTTTAGGGTTTAGGGTTTGGAAATCGACACCTCACACTCCTGGAAGCCCATCCTCATGCGCTGAGCTCGGCGCGCCATGTCCGGACCTCATCTGTAGGAGCACGAAAGCTTAGGGTTTTTGAAGGGGATCGTGCCATTTGGCGGTCGAAATTGGGGACTCCCTTATTTTGGTAAACCACCATGTGAATATTACATGTTGTCATGATGCTACAATGCTTCTTATTCTTTTTCATACTCTTATTCATAGTCTTGCTCATCTACTTATTCTTCGTCGTAGATGGCTATTCTTGCATAGTTGTTGATTTTTCTTCTGAACTCATGCTGTATTATTTGTGGCTGGCTGCAGTAATAACCCTAAACCCTAAACCCCAAACAAACCCTAAACCCTAAACCCTAAACCCTAAACCCTAAACCCTAAACCCTAAACCCTAAACCCTAAACCCTAAACCCTAAACCATTCCGCCCCCCCTAGGCTCCTTATGACCAACTCTGAGGAGCCCCGCAAATCAAAAACTTGAGAGTCGCCACCTCTGCCGGCTTTTCTATGGGCATCATGACCTCTGGCATGGTTTAGGGTTTAGGGTTTAGGGTTTAGGGTTTAGGGTTTAGGGTTTAGGGTTTAGGGTTTAGGGTTTAGGGTTTAGGGTTTAGGGTTCAGGGTTCAGGGTTTAGGGTTTTAGGGTTTAGGGTTTAGGGTTTAGGGTTCAGGTCTTGGGGTTTGGAGTTTGGGGTTTGGGGTCTGGGGGTCGGGACTCGTACCTCCGATGCTCCATGTGACGAGACCTGGATTCCCCCAAGCCCTCTGAACATCAAACCCTAAACCCTGAATAGGGTTCTGGGCGTTATGAGAGTGGAACTCTAAAGGGACCACAAGGGAATAATGTTCGTAACTATTCCGACCCAATATTAGACAGTATATTGGCAATGGAGGGTCCAGGAGAAACCAGTGTGCAAGCACCACCTGGGCCCCAAACCTTAATGTAGTTTTTCCTCAGGACGAATAGAGTCTGACTGAAGCCCTCTACCCAAAGCCCTACAGAAAACTCAACCCTAGAACGCCGGACCCCGAAAGCCTCAACCCTAAGGCCCCCCCTCGCTCCCAAAGAACAACTGAACACGCAGGGCCAGACCTCCCGGATCTGTAGCATCCAAACGATTCCATACCTGGCCACTTTGGCTTTCGGGGCTTGGGTTTACCCTAAACCCTAAACCCTAAACCCTAAACCTTGAACCCTAAACCCTAAACCCTAAACCCTAAACCCCAAACCCTAAACCCTAGGACTTCTTGGGTTGTCCTTTTTTTTTGCGTCAGCTCCTGCGGCCTCTGGGACTGATGGGCTAGGGCCCTAAAACCTCAAGCCGCAGACCCGGAAGCCGCAGGCAGGGAGGGCTTCGAAGGCCAACGGGCCTTTAGGGTTTAGGGTTTAGGGTTTAGGGTTTAGGGTTTAGGGTTTAGGGTTTAGGGTTTAGGGTTTAGGGTTTAGGGTTTAGGGTTTAGGGTTTAGGGTTTAGGGTTTAGGGTTTAGGGTTTAGGGTTTAGGGTTTAGGGTTTAGGGTCTTCAACCTCCTAACTCCAAAACTGTGCCGCGTGCCGGCAGCAACTGTATCCAGGACTTGGGCATTTCCCAGAATAGGGTTCCCCGAGTGTGCCCCAAAGTACGATAATCTTTGCAAAATAGGATGTAGTCACCCTAAACCCTAAACCCTAAACCCTATTTTCTGACGCCCCTACGGCTTTCTCGCTAAACTTCATGGGCTTGAGGGGACATGATTGCCCTAAACCCCATAGACCCCAAACCCTAAACCCTAAAACCCTAAACCCTAAACCCCCTAAGCAGGAGGCGCAGTTGGGGTCACGAATGTATTTCTGGGCTTCAGGATGCAAACCTCAGTGCTCAGAAAGATCCTGGGGGTTTAGGGTTTAGGGTTTAGGGTTTAGGGTTTAGGGTTTAGGGTTTAGGGTTTAGGGTTTAGGGTTTAGGGTTTAGGGTTTAGGGTTTAGGGTTTAGGGAACCCTGTGACAAAAGGACCCAATGAAATCAGCTGCCTTTCTTATAGGCCTTTCGACCCCTTCTAACAAATCCTGTAGGGTTCAGGCAAGAAGGCAACTCTCCCCGAGCACGCGGCCACCCCACTACAGATTGCTACTTCTGACGCTAAATCCTTAACAACCCTAAACCCTAAACCCTAAACCCCAAACCCTAAACCCTAAACCCTAAACCCTGCCACTCCCAACAGAAAGAGCCCCCAAGGGCAAACATCCAGGCCCACCTTTGGTCTGTTGGAGTGAAGATGCTCCTGTCGAAAGGCAGGTGGTTGTCCTCGGCATCAGCACATGGGCAGTGCTAGCAAGTACCCTGACCTATGGTCCCTTGTCGAGTTCAGGGTTTAGGGTTTAGGGTTTAGGGTTTAGGGTTTAGGGTTTAGGGTTTAGGGTTTAGGGTTTAGGGTTTAGGGCTTAGGGGGGGGGGGGGGTTGATTATGACCACACGGGGCCTTGCATCTGGGGCACGCTGATGGGGACAATTCTTCAGCTTCAGAGTGGACCCGCATGTTGGAGGCAAGCCATGCAGAGAGGACTTTTGAGCCCCAAAGAACTCGATGTTCCCAATGCAAAGGTGCCTTGACAACCCTCAACCCAAACCTACTGGTCCTTCGTAGGGAATGAGGGAGGGGTGTTTTCAAACTTCCCTCATTCCCTAGGAAGCAAACTCAAAACTCACGTCCCTCCCCCCCCCCCCCCAAACCCCGCTTTTCTTGCCAAGGACGAGTAGCCTCCTCCTCATCTTCATAGCCTCACAGCTGAGGCAGCAAGCTCAGTTGTCACATCAGGGGCTTCCTCAAACCGAGGACGTCTTATCTTAGTTGCTCGGTGAAATAGTGTTTCCACGTCATGTTTTGGGATTCCAGATGGATCAAGTCGAAACTTTTCTCAGTAGGATCAATAGCACTTGAGTAAGACAGGGTGGCGATGCTGCCGGAGGTTCGAGCAATGCTCAAATGCTGCTGTCTGTCTAGTTCACAGGGTAGATTGTGAAGTTCTAACCGTAAACCTAAACCCTAAACCCTAAACCCTAAACCCTAAAAACCCTAAACCCCAAAACCCTAAACCCTAAACCTAGGGACTTAGGGAACTTAGGGAGCCTTAGGGAGTAGTGGGGAGTATCAGGGCCTTGGGTTTCCTACCCCCCCCCCCCCCCTGAACCCCCCATTAAGAAAGAAGTATGAGGTCCCCACAATGGACAGTACGCTGCTACACCGCTGCAAACACACAGAAATGTTCGCTAAACCTAAACCCTAAACCCTAAACCCTAAACCCTAAACCCTAAACCCTAACCCTAAACCCTAAACCCTAAACCCCCCCAAACCCCCCTAAACACCCCTCCCCCCCCTCCGAACCGCCCTGAACCCCGAATATTGTTGAGAATCGAGCTCTCCCTCCGAAGGCTTCTTTGATCCCAACGGTCAAAACCCCATGTATGGGCTGGGGTTTAGAGTTTGGGGCGGAGGGTTGAAGGTTTAGGGTTTCAAGTAATCCTCCTCCACCCTAAACCCTAAACCTAAACCCTAAACCCTAAACCCCTAAACCCTAAACCCTAAACCCTAAACCCTAAACCCTAAACTAAACGGTGCAGGCTGTTGTTGGAATCCCAGGTCATTGGCAGCTTCCAGGTTCCCAGACCCGCTTCGGACATGGCGCTCGCTGGATGGCGCCCCAGCCGCCGACTTGAACCACTACTCTGGCAGGGTTTAGGGCTTTTGGCTTTGGGTTAGTTTAGGGTTAGGGTTTAGGGTTAGGGTTTAGGGTTTAGGGTTTAGGGTTTAGGGTTTTTGGCTTTGGCTTTGAGCCTAAAGACTTCCGAGAGCAGAGTCTGGTCGCCCAACCCTAAGCCCCAAAGCCTAACCCCACCCCCCCCTCCCCCCTAAACCTAAGCCCTAAACCTAAACCCTAAACCCTGAACCCTAACCCTAAACCCTAAACCCAAAAACGGAAGTCTGGGAATCAGGTACTCTGGGGTCCTAGCAGTCCTTCCCCTGCTAGCCCCTCGGGCGCCGCATGCGTGGCGCTTTTTGACGGAGCGTTTCGGGCTTGGGGTTTAGGGTTTGGGTTTAGGGTTTAGGGTTTAGGGTTTAGGGTTAGGGTTTAGGGTTTAGGTGTTTTAAGTTTTTTGGGCTTTAGGGCCTTGGGGTTTACATGGTCCTTCTCAAACTGATGGTCCCTTTTGGGGTACCCAATAGTAAAGGCCGCTACGATAGCAACCATAAAAGGCCAGAAGTTCAGAGAAATGAAAACCAGTGTTTCGTGTTTTTTTTTTTTTTTTTTTTGCGGGTGTGTGTGTGGGTGTGTCTGTGGCCTCATCAGCGAGGACTTGATCATGGAAGCTGATGCTCAAGAGCCTTGAGGCCCAAAACCCTAACCTCCAAGAAATGTCCAAATTCCTGAGCCTGCCTGCGGTTTAAACCCCCTAAACCCTAACCTAAAACCCCAAACCCTAAACCCTAATCCCTAGGCCTCATTCCTCAAGCCTAAACGCTGCAGGTCTAGGGTTCGGGGTGCACGCTCTGCTACCTCGAAGATTGGGAGTGTGTTTCTTGAGGTGTATGGCTTATAGAAGCGATAGAAGAAACCCTAAACCCTAAACCCTAAATCCTAAACCCTAAACCCTAAACCTGAAGCCCATCAACCCTCGACCATTTGTCGGCGGCATCTGCAGCTGCTGAAAGCTGGGCGGCTCGAACAGCCATCCTCGGAATTCGAGCAGAGGGGGGCAGGGACCTTCAAGTGCGCCAAAAACCGCCCCCTAAACCCAACCCTAAACCCTAAAACCCTAGTTTCGGCACTGTGGCAGGCCAAGGCTTAGGAGCTAGATGTCTGAAGATGCTTTTGCAGATTCACTGTGGTTTCGCCCATGATGAGCCCATACCTCCTCCTCCTGTCCAACTCGCAGGGAAGGTGTTGCAACGCCTCAGAAGGGGCTGTCCATGCCCCCCCCCCCCCCCAACCCTAAAACGTAAAACAAGCTATGCCCGAACGAACTGGTGACTTGCTTCCTTACTGAAGAGCTACTAGCTTTTCGTAGGTCATGAGGGAATAAGGGTAGCTTGTATCCTCTCAAGAATGCTTTAAAGAAGTATACATAGGGGGATCCCAGGTGCCCTAAACCCTAAACCCTAAACCCTAAACCCTAAACCCGAAACCCTAAACCCTAAACCCTTCCCAAGATCGACGCTTTCTTGAAGCCCCAGCTTCGCTCCAAGGGTTCAGTGACTTCCTCCTCCAGCTGCACCCAGTCGTGCTTCCTGGTTTGGGGTCATAGGGTTTAGGGTTTAGGGTTTAGGGTTTAGGGTTGAGGGTTGAGGGTTGAGGGTTTAGGGTTTTGATGAAAGCATGCCATAATACACACTCCCACCTCAAGAGCTGTGCGGTTGGACACGGCGCTTGGATCGAAAACCCTATAAACCCCAAGCCAGAAAACCGCTACCCTAAACCCTGAACCCTGAGCCCTAAACCCTAGACCCATCTAAACCCTAAACCCTGAACCCTGAGCCCTAAACCATACATGAAGCTCCCTCAAGCCACGGTGAGGGCTTTACCTCGCCTCTTTGCACAAATTCGCGTTTAAAATGTTGGGCTGCTGGAGCTAACAAGAGATTCTAGGGTTTAGGGTTTAGGGTTTAGGGTTTAGGATTTCGGGGTGCAGGTGTCGATGTTGGGGAAATCAGCTCAATATCAAAACTCGGAGGATTTCAGATAACCTTGAGCACTCCCCTGCTTCCCTAAGCCCTAAGCCCTAAACCCTAAACCCTAAACCCTAAGCCCTAAGCCCTAAGCCCTAAACCCTAAACCCTAAACCCTAAACCCTAAACCCTAAGCTCATCCCACGAAACGCAAGAGTAATCCGGAACCCTGCACTTCAACACCTCGGGGACCTTGAGCCTGAAAACCACCAAAATGGCTGAGCCCCAAACCCTAAACCCTAAACCCTAAACCCTAAACCCGAAACCCCAAACCCTGGGGGGCACGGAGCTCTTCGGGCGGCTTCGGGTCTACCATAGGGGCCTTAACTATTAGAACCGGGCTTCGGGGGGTTTAGGGTTTAGGGTTTAGGGTTTAGGGTTTAGGGTTTAGGGTATAGGGTATAGGGTTTATGAAAGCTTAATCATAAAGGGGGACCATAGGGGAATACGATGAGTCATTAGTGGACCCTAAGCGAGATACGATTTGTCCTAAGGGGACCAGAAGGGAGTACGTCTTATTTTTTATATAGAACTTTGCCCTAAACCCTAACCCCCAACCCCTAACCCCTAAACCCTAAACCCTAAACACTAAACCCTAACCCCTAAACCCTAAACACTTATTCCGATCCCCAAAGTACTGCCCCCTAGGCCTCGTCAGCGAGTCGCTCGCCTCGTAGATGCCTGTGGAAGGAGCGAGGACCTGCGGTTGCCGGGGTTTAGGGGTTTAGGGGTTTAGGGGTTTAGGGGTTTAGGGTTTAGGGGTTTAGGGGTTTAGGGGTTTAGGGGTTTAGGGGTTTAGGGGTTTAGGGGTTTAGGGGTTAGTTAGGATTTTAGGGGTTAGTTAGGATTTTAGGGGTTAGGGTTTGGGGGTTTAGGGGTTTAGGCTTTAGGGGTTTAGGGGTTTAGGGTTTAGGGGGTGAAGGGGTTTAGGGGTTTAGGGGGTTAAGGGGTTAGGGCTTAGAGGGTTCAGGGGTTCAGGGGTTTGGGGTTCAGCGTTTTGGCAGCACCTTGCCGGTTCTCATTCCGGGAATGAGGCTTTAGGGTTTAGGGCTTAGGGCCCAGGGGGAATACAAGTTACCATATGCCATGTACCATTTTCTAAGCATGCCCCCCCTCTAGGCCAGCTGGAGACCCCCAAACCAGAACAACCTATGCCTCAAGCCCCAACTCACCCAAAGACCCAACCCATGACCCACATGATGCAACCACCAGATGAAACCATACACCACCACATAGAAACAACTCAACCCCATAGACCAACACCCCCATGGAAAACCCATATTCCCCAACCCGAAATCCCTAACCCTAGAAAATGGAAATGGTATTCTCTAATACAATATTTTTGCTCATATGCAATATAATTACAATCTAAAGTAAATTTCTTTTTTACATGTTTTTTCTAAAGACTTTCGCAATATATTTAGAAAGGGTTTAGGGCTTATTGTTTAGGGTTTGGGGTTTAAACTTATAGTATAAATATATAGTATAGGTATATGACACATTTCAAAAGTCCCGAGGATATGACAATGGACGAGATTAAGCAACAACTGGCATTGAATCAACGGCTTTATTATAACAAAAGGAAAGAAGACGAGCAGTTTATGCAGAAGAAGCGCGAAGCAAGTTTAAGGCACAACCAAAAGAAGAGAATTAAGGAGTACCTAGAAGATAACAATTTAAGTGAGGAAGATTTGACCCCTACGCAAATTACCGAAATCATTAGTGACAAAAAACCTAGTGGAAAGAAACGCGGAGCGCCCAAATACGATATGGTTGAATGCGAAGTGATTATACCTAATTCTTTAAAATGATGATTTACTTAATTATGTTAAATGATTATTTGTGGTTACGTATTTATATGAGCGAGAAACAGAAAATCATTAATGAAGTATATTTTGATAGGCCGGTTTCGGGAGTAAATCCAGAATACTATCTGAAGCACGGGAGAAAGACAAAACGGTAACAATGGGCGATATTAACGAGTTTTTTCGAAAGAATGTTGAGCAAAAAAGAAAGCCGGTAGGACAAAACAGTTTGTACCGCCCCTCATTCCGCTTATGAATATCAGATGGATTTTTTATAAACGATTTGAAAGAACAAGAGTTTAAGGTAGGGGTGTTGATAATTGATGTATTCGAAAGGTTTATGCATGTAGTGCCGATAAACAGCAAACAAGAAGGAGATGTAGCGAGTGGGATGATTGAGTGTTTAAACAAGATGGGAAAGAAACCCGATATAATTTATACGACGACGAGGGAGCATTGAACAAGGAGGCGATACAGAAGTATTTGAAGGATGAGAACATAGAACATCATAGAACGAGGGCGCACCCAAATTTTAGCGAAAGAGCCAGCCGCACTTTCAAAGATATGTTGTATAAGAGGGTTGAAGCGGATGAAAAAAAGGGAAAGGAAAACATCCAATGGCCAGAGTACAAATTAGAAATACTACTAACCTATAATAATCAAATGAAGCACTCGGCAACGGGATTTACACCAAAGGAAGCTCGAAAACCCAGTCATCAATTCAAAGTGAAATTAAATTTAGCCATGAAGGGAAAGAAGAACCGTGTATATCCTGATACGAAGTTAAGACATTTAGGAAAAGAAAACGAAATGAAAAAGAAAGGGTGAGCAATTATAGCCAACATATTTACACAATAGAAAATGTTGAAGTTAGGTCAAACTTATTACTATGTAGAAGGTCATGAAAGGCAATACCTAAGATTCGAGCTGCTTATGGTTTGACGGCAAGCACTCTCTGACGTTTTCTGCATGACCAGCTGTTGGGGGCACATCACACTTCAAATGACACTATTGTCTCTAAAGCGTGCGAACTGACCATGTTTCCGGACTGCAAGCAGCGCAGTATGACAATGCCCCGCTAAACTGGTCCCAAATCTGCTTTTGGCACGTCACACTGGCCTTGCCCTCTGCGTCCAAAGCAGACGATCTGACCATCTGCCCGCACTGCGCAGGTGTGCTGATTGCCCGCTGAGACTGCCAGAACTGGTCCCAAGTCTGCTGGCACGTGAGACGCCGCGTATCTGCGTCCAAAACAAACGAGCATACTATCTGCCCGTACTGCACAAGTATGATATTGGCCCGCTGAGACTGCCAAGACTGGTCCCAAATCTGATGGCACCACACGCGCCTTTTTTCGAAGGTCTCCAAAGCAGACGAGCTGACCATCTGCACGCACTGCACAAGTATGAGTTTCGCCCGCTGAGACTGACAAAACCGATCCCAAATCTGCTGGAACATCACACTGCCGTTTTCCGTTGGCTCCAAAGCAGACGAGCTGACCATCTGTACGCACTGCACAAGTATGAGCTCGGCCCGCTGAGACTGCCAAAACCGATCCCAAATCTGTTGGAACATCACACTGCCGTTCTTCGTTGGCTCCAAAGCAGACGAGCTGACCATCTGTACGCACTGCACAAGTATGAAAGTGGCCCGCTGCGACTGCCAAAACCGATCCCAAATCTGCTGGAACATCACACTGCCGTTCTTCGTTGGCTCCGAAGCAGACGAGCTGACCATCTGTACGCACCGCGCAAGTATGAAAAGTGCCCGCTGAGACTGCCAAAACCGATCCCAAATCTGCTGGCACATCGCACTGCCCACATCCATAGCCATAGAGACTTGTTTCGGCTCCAAAGCACACGAGTTGACCATCTGCCCGCACTGCACAAGTATGAAATTCGCCTGCTGAGACTGCTAAAACTGAATTGCTGCAAGCTTGAACGTTTCCGGACTGTGGTGAGAATCCAGAAGCCCGAGTCCGTCTGCGAAGATTGCTGGACAAGCACCCGACACGTTGAAGCCGTGGCAGCATGAAACGTGACTGACCTAGCGCGGGAATGCACCAGGAGCCAGGACGGACTGTAAGAAACGACAGGAGCGCAGTCCTCCGTGCCCAGAAGAAGATTGTGGCAAACGCCAGGCAAACTCTCATAGCCACTGAGAGATGGATGTAGGAAGCAAGGCTCCAGGGAGGGTGCTCTGGAAGCTGAGGGATGGGAGTCTAGACAAATAGCTAATGCTTTGCTATTCGTACCGCTCTAGCCGATACGACCTGCATCCTAACCCTTATTCCGATGATAGATGCTTTTTGGGAGAAGACCATTTCCATTCTCCACTGCTAAGGGTTTCGGGTTTTTGTGTTATGGGCTTTCTATGTGGTGGCGGCATGTTATGGGGTTGAATCTGCTACTTCCTAGTCCCATCCGATGGGTTCTTCAGGCGGGGGTCTTGGTCTGGGTCTTCGGGCTAAGGGTTTAGGGCCTTTTGGTGGGTTGGAGGTTGAGGTGTAGGTTGTTATGGTTTGGGTCTTTTGGTGGTTCCATCCCAGGGGTCTTGGTGTGGGTCTTTTGGTGAATTGGGGAGTGAGGCACAGGTTGTTATGGTTTGGGTGCTAGGGGGGGGGGGGGGGGGGGGGGCATGCTTAGATAATGGAAATACACTAAACCCTAAACGCTAAACCCTTAACCCTAAACCCTAAACCCTAAACCCGAAACCCGAAACCCTAAACTGCTGACTCTTTATCCCCCTCGGATCGGATAGGGAGATCGAAGGCCGAATTCCCTCATTCCCTACAAAAAAACACTTTAGGGTTTAGGGTTTAGGGTTTAGGGTTTAGGGTTTAGGGTTTAGGGTTGGAGTCTTAAACATGCCTTCTTCACCCGCAAGCATCTAGCATGAGAGGCATGGGACGCCTGTCGCATACAGCAAGTTGATGCCGGGTAGCCTGGTAGCCAGGTCATAATAAGGGCACCCTGTATTTTAGGGGGTTGGTTACTTTTATGAGCGAACCCAAAAACATAAATCAAAAAAGGGGACAAGGGTACCGCTGGGCTGCCAAGGCATGGGTCTAATGCTGCCACAGCAGCCAAGATCTCAACCGATGGCCGCAAGAATGGCTGGGCTTTGACCTACCAAGGGCTTCGGAGCTCCCCCGAGGGAGCGTTGGCTCATACGCGCATGGGTACATAGGCCCTGAGCCCTAAACCCTAAATACCCTAAATGCCCCTAAATACCGTAAATACCCAAAACCCAACATCCTCACAGTTGGTCCAGGGGCCTCCGGCCCTAAAGATTTAGGGTTTCTTGGGTACTTCAGAGCCCGCACAACCAAGCCCCCAAGTCAAACTCCCAAAAGCCCCCCACGTCTGTTCTGGGGGTGGGGGGGGGGGGGGTTGGTCGCCAAAGCCCGAAACACCTCTATTCAAGGGACCTCCGTGACCTCCCCTCGAATAACGATTTTTGGGGTGCGGGGGGCGAGGAGTCCTGCATCGATCCGAAATGCCTTTGGGATCGGGCTCCGTGACAGGAGGCAAGACTTGAACCTTAAACCCTAAACCCCTCAAACCCGAAACCCCTAAAACCCGAAACCCCTAAAACCCCTTAAACCCTAAACCCCTAGAACCCGAAACCCCTGAAACACCTTAAACCCGAAACCCTTAAAACCCATTCGGGGATGCGCACCCCAAGTTACCCTAAACCCTAAACCCCAAACCCTAAACCCTAAACCCTAAACCCTAAACCCTCCCTTAAGAACCCTATAACCCAAGCACTCGCGACCTCGGGCAGCCAGGCGGGATCGGAGGGGTCGAAGGACTCCCCCAGCAGGAGGGGCACTGCTAAACTCTCCGCCTGCGAGGTGAGGGTTTAGGGTTTAGGGTTTAGGGTTTAGGGTTTAGGGTTTAGGGTTTAGGGTTTAGGGTTTAGGGTTTAGGGTTTAGGGTTTAGGGTTGAGGGTTTAGGGTTTAGGGTTTAGGGTTTAGGGTTTGGGGTTTGGGGTTTGGGGTGTTGGGGTTTAGGGTTTAGGGTTTAGGGTCTAGGGTTTAGGGTTTATGAGGGTTAAGGGTTTAGGGTTTAGGAAAAAGTTTCGGAGACCACCAGGGCTTAGGGGAGGGTCGAGGGTTCAGGCTGTGGGGTTTGCCGAGGTTCCGCTGAGGTGCAAGGTGTTGGCGAGCACCCAGCTGTTTCAGGTCTCGAGCCCAGAATCACGAACCCGAGGGTTGTTCGGGTTGACCAGGTTGAGCAAGATACTGAGTATCCCTAAACCCTAAACCCTAAACACTAAACCCTAAACTCTAAACCCTAAACCCTATATAGACCCTAAACCCTAAACCCTCAACCCGAAACCTTCCTGCGCCTTATCCCTTGAGTCTTAAACCTTAAACCCTAAACCCTATGGGTTTCAGACTCCCGGTCGAGGTACATGAGAAAATGGCACCTGCCAACTTGAATTTTGAGTCTTGCATAGCCGCGCGAGTCAAGTTGCAGTCTTGCAGGTTGCCGCTTCAAGGTTTAGGGTTTAGGGTTTGGGTTTAGGGTTTAAAAGGGAAAAGGTGCTGGAAGGTTAGGATTTAGGGTTGAGGGTTGAGGGTGCGGAAGGTGCTGAGTCGCACGGCAGAGTTTCCACTCCACTGCATTCTGGAAGCTGCAGATTTACGGAGCCCCCACCACCACGGGTTTAGGGTTTAGGGTTTAGGGTTTAGGGTTTAGGGTTTAGGGTTTAGGGTTTAGGGTTTAGGGTTTAGGGTTTAGGGTTTAGGGTTTAGGGTTTAGGGAAAGCTTAGGGTTACAAGACCGAATGTCGCATGAAGAGTCCCCGCTAGGTCTAGCCAAGCGACATCGCACATGGTGCCCCCACCCCTTGGTCAGTTCAAGGGCACAGTAGCAAAACCTTGAATGCGCTGGGCTAAAGGCCTCAGGACCCTAACCCGAAACCCTAAACCCTAAACCCTAAACCCTAAAACCCAAACCCCAAACCCCAAACCCCAAGATACCCCAAGCCCTACGCTGCCTTGAGCATGGCGTGCTGGAGAACTGCCATCTGAAACTCCAGTAGTGGCACGCTCGCCACCCGAAACCTAGGTCTCTTCTTGAAGGCTGATTGAACGGTTTAGGGTTAGGGTTTAGGGATTAGGGATTAGGGTTTAGGGTTTAGGGTTTAGGGCTTAGGTGAAGAAGAAAAGGCAGCTGCAACTGATGCTGTGGACGGTCGTGCCAGGCTTTTAGGCTGAGGTTTAGGGTTTGGGTTTAGGGCCTGAGGTTTAGGGCTTAGGGGTTACGGGTTTCGGGTTAGGGGTTTGGGGTTAGGGTTTAGGGTTTAGGGCTACCTGGTTTCGCTTGGACATGCCGACTTTGATCTGCGGGTGCGGGGTAGTTCGAACATTTGCAGGACCCTACGCACGTTTTCGGGTTTACTGTAGGTCTTAGGGTCTTTTTGGGGCAGCTGTGTGCCAGTAACCCTGCATGTACCAAGCGATGCCTCTGGAAGCCAAGGCCAAGAGCGTGCGAACTACAAGGTCATGGAAAGATCGGGAGGCACGAAACGCGGCATTTCGTGAGGGCTTAATGGAGAAAGCGACACAAGGAAGGGCATCTGAGTGGCAACGTGGATGCGGCTGAAGGAGTCGGGCCGTGGCAAGAAGACAACACCAGTCATCCAGCATCCATGGCCGTCGGGCGCGTGTTCCATGACAGCCGCAATGCGATTGCCAAGGAATGCCCGCACGGGGCCAGAATGCTGCACAACGTCTGTTGCCCAACTTCCCGGTTCGGAGTGAGTATGCCAACCACCCCCCCAGAGCCCGTCCACGTTACAGCCCCGTGTTACGACCCCAGCTGCACGGTTCCCGGTCACACTTCCGAGGGCTTTCTTTGTTTCTTTCACTAGTTTCGACTAATTAATGCTTCTTTGTTCAGTATTTTCCTCTACAAAGGTCTGCGGAGAAGAGTGGCCCAACTGAAACGAGAAGTTCTCTCGGCCTGGAAGCCACATGTCCCAAGCTCAATTGCACAAAGAAGCCAGCTCTCAAAACACCCTAAACCCTAAACCCTAAACCCTAAACCCTAAACCCTAAACCCTAAACCCTAAACCCTAAACCCTAAACCCTAAACCCTAAACCCTAAACCCTAAACCCTAAACCCTAAAAACCCTAAAACCCTAAACCCTAAACCCTAAACCCTAAACCCTAAACCCTAAACCCTAAACCCTAAACCCTAAACCCTAAACGAAGAGTCCAGGCAGCTCGGACATCAGCGGCTCGAGGTGGAGCACTGGCTGCCTTTCTAAGGCTAGTTACATGGTCCCTCAGTATGGGGTTTAGGGTTTAGGGTTTAGGGTTTAGGGTTTAGGGTTTAGGGTTTAGGGTGAGCTTCAGAGCATGTAGGCAGGGGCAACAATCGCGGCACAGGCTTGACTGCGGGATTTAGGAGGGAAAGGAGGCTGTCAGAGTCTTGGCCAAATCCCAAGGTTTTTGCTGGGGCGGCATACAGGCTTGGCTTTTGTGCGTGGCGAAAAGCTCTGGCTTTCAGGGGTTTCGCCCAGAATCCTAGCACCCCCGAACCCTAAACCCTAAAACCCTCTGAACCATCAAGCCCTAAACCCTGAATACCTGAAATCCTAAACCCTTAACACACTGAAGCCCTGAAACCCTAAACCCTGCACCCTAAACCCCTAAACCCTAAACCCCTAAACCCTGAAACCCTACAAGAGCAAGGGCCTTGGGGGACCCAGTCGATGTAGGAGTCGCAGGTGACATCGCCCCACTGCGTTGTGCGGCCACAATTGGCCTGAGTGAGGACTTAGGGTTTAGGGTTTAGGGTTTGGGTTTAGGGTTTAGGGCTTAGGGCTTAGGGTTCAGCATCTCACGTCGAAGCATTCACGAGTCAAGCAATTACTCGAGCGTTGGAAAAATACCCACCCGCCCAAAGAAACCCATAACATTAAGAAAGTCTTTCACTTTCATTTTTCGGCCCTTGCCGACGAATTTAAGACCCAAATTGGGCCTTGCCGACGAATTTCAGTAAGGTTGAACCCAAATTGGGCCTTGCCGACGAATTTAAGACCCAAATTCGTCGGCAGGGCGCATTTTGGGCCTTGCCGGCGAATTTCATTCAGGTTGAACCCAAGTTGGGCCTTGCCGACGAATTTAAGGCCCCTTTGAGGCCTTGCCGACGAATTTAAGGCTCAAATTTGGGCCTTGCCGACGAATCCATTAAGGGTTTAAACCTTCGGAATTCGTCGGCAAGGCTCAAGTTTGGGCCTTGCCGACGAATTCATTTAGGTTTAAATAATAAATATAAATATGAATGTACATATATATAGATACATTTGTATATGAAGGAGAGTGTTTAGGGTTAGGGTTTAGGGTTGAGGGTTGAGGGGTTGAGCCCGGGTTTTGGGTTTAGGCTTCGGGTTTATTTAGGGTGTAGGGTTTGGGGTTGAAGGGCTTAGGGTCCTTCTTTTGCAGTTCAGGGCTACGGTGGGGATTTGATTTGGGCCTTGGGGCTTCGTAGCTCGGAGCTTCAGGCTTGAAGTTTCCTAAAGTTTGGGAGTTAAGGTTTCAGGCTTTAGGGTTTAGGGCTTAAATTTAAGGTTTAGGGTTTAGGGCCTAATAGGGCTTGCTGTGAAAGGGCGAGAAGCTGCGAAGGTTGGGATGAAGACTCGCTTCGAAAGCTTGAATGGAATGCGAGGAGCAGCCATGGCCCGATAGTGGAGGGCCATCTAACATTTTTTCCCACCCCACGCCGTTTCAAGTGGCAAAACCACCCAAATCTATTCCTTTTGGGGTTTAGGTTTAGGCCTAAACTCAAGTCAACAGCACACTTCTAAAAGTTCTAGGGAGTGTCGTGTCAGGGGTGGTAGAAATTCCCACCTCCAGCAAGTGAAGGGTTGTCAAGGTTTCAGCGCGGTTTCAGGACGTCCCAGGCGGGTCATCGACGACGGCGGCGCGAGCGTCGCCGCCACCAGCACCCGGCGCTTGCTCTTGCGCTTGCTGGAGACTGGTTGCGTTGCTGCAGATGTTCCCGGAGCGCACAGCTCTCGGACCGCCTTCATGTAGAGCGACTCCCAGTGGCTCGGCGGGAAGTGGGCGCGCGACCACGCTGCGCAGCACGCCGGTCTGGAGCACCTGCCGAAATTGGCGCACGGCGAGTTGGAGCCACATCTCGGGCTAGAGTGGGCGGTACTTCATGAGAACCTTCCGTGCCAGTTGGAAGTCTGTTGGTCTCGTCGTTCAGTCGCTGAACTTGGCGTTGTAGCTGGGCGCATACTGCAGCAACAGTCCACGGCCGTCGCCCATCTGCACGTCCATGCGACACTGCAGCGGCCCCGGCCCCAGCACGTCGGGCAAGTAGGCTCGGACATGTGCTGTGTGGGCGTCAGCCGGATGTTGCGCAGGGTACCTGCGAGCACGCCAACGCGACTCGTTCCCCCTTGTGCGTTCTTTCTCCTCTCAGTTCCCAAATAATTGGTACCATCTAGCAGAGCCGGGATCCACGTGGCATTGATCAACAGAGCCGTGTCTGGAAGTGTCGCAGCTGCGCGACTATAACTAGCACTAAGGAAGATGACCAAGAATGTCATCCTTAAGTTTATAAACAGCAGCGCTCTTGCGAATCGGAGCAGCAGCGACCGCCAGCAGTCACACTGAACTCATCCCGACCCCTGCTGGACTCCCTCTCCAGGCGGCGCGAGAAACATCTAGACCTCAGCGCGACACATCACTACGAAAATCCAACGTTGGCAAAGAAAGACATGTGTGGCTAGGTGCAGCCCAGAAGCGGGGAAAACAGAATTTTCGCGTTGCGCCCAAAACCTCCCACACACCTAAATCCAAAGTACAAAGCGCGAGCCGTCTATCGTGTCGATGATGAACCACGGAAGGTTTTGTAGGGAAACTGCGCCCCACCCTCAAAGGAAAGCCAAAACCTGCAAGGAAAACGCCCAAAGTAGTTTGACAAAAAACATTCCAGAGACCCAAAAAGAACGCTGAAAAACGCGGCGATCCAGACGCGCGGCAGGCGGCGGAAGGCCGCGCATGGTTTCGGACACTCCTGCAAAAACCGAAGAAACCCGCAGATCGAAAGTGGCGCACGAGCCCAAAATTTCTGTATGGGGCTTGGGGGGCGGGGGGACGTGGGACAATGTCTCAGG